GATAAAGCTTCATGGCAAACTAACCACATGTTCTGGCTGGAAAGGGGGCGGCAGGCACATTGCAAACATAGTGCAGCAGAGCGGCCATGCCACCCTGCCATTACGCCCACCACGTGATCCAAAGAGATGCCAACTAAGGCAACAGTCTCAGGCTGCCTCAATATAATAACGGCCCTGCGTGCTATTCACTCCATACCTCTATCCTACAATTTCCTTCCCCTTACCTCTGCAGTTGATGTCACACTTAGGCTACCTATACGTGTTTATATTTCTCTTGTTCAGCCTGCTATAGATTCCCCCATTCATGTTAAACAGCACAGATGGAGGGATCTCCCTTGCTACTGCTACTAAGTCTGCCCATACACCTTGCGATCATCGGATGACACTTTTCGTCCGATGATCGAACCGTCGTACGATATTCATACGGCGGCCCCATCCTGCCCCGATTATCGCAAAGGTTGGATCAGCAGTAATTAGAAGAAAGCGCCTGGACGAATTGCGGTAATCGACCGCATGTATTTTCGTGTGCAGAGTAAATCGTACGAATTTTGACGTACGGAAACGCCACCAACCTTGTAAAAATCGTACGTTAGACCGAAGTTTTCGAACCTGCTGGTTAGTCAAAAGTCGATCGATTGTACAGTATTTGCAGTTGTACACTGCCCATCAGCCTTATGAATATCGGATAGGATGCAGTCACTGTTCGGCCGAAGATTTTCCACTCAGCCCCTTTGACTTTTCAATCAACTTTTTGAGGAGCCAACTGGTGCCAACAGAACCAGTTCGATTCAGCAGGCGTTGACGGAAATCCAAGCCGTGTATGGCCAGCTAGCCCCGGGGACCAGTGACAGTTCAATGTCATAGGGGAAAGTTAATGGACTCTTCACATTGGTGTCACTGGCTATTTGTTGCCACGGACAGAACTGTGTGTGGTGCGGCCCTTACTCTCTTAGGTTTCCTCATTTATATATTACAATCACAAATTCACGCTGATTATTGTGCGATATAATTTTATACATCTTAAAATTTGTTTCAACATTTTTTAAATTCATTTTTCTTTGAATAGCAATAATTTGAACCAGAGCACCCAGTCTATGGTAAGCAGATCAGTAGATTTTGCACATATGGTCAGCATACTGGACATGGCAGTTAGCATAATATTCATAAGAGAAGGGCGGAGAGCGAGCTCCTTGGTTCCTAATACTCAGAAAGGACTTAGTGACAGATTACAGGATGAATGATGTACTTGCAAATGATTTGGGAGCCAAGCTACCAGTCTGAGGATGTTTAATCTTAGAAATCACTATTCGGAATGGATTTTAAGGAACTGAAAACTAGCTACTGAACAAGTGGCTAATAACAGTGGCTTTCTCAAAATATGACTCAAATCATGTTGTCACACATAAGGTACTGAAAACCTAGAAGGGCTCTTGGCCACAAAGCCTAGAAAATGAAGAGGTCAATAAGGGCTAAACTACCAGGCCCATGGGCATACTTACAGTTGACTCGGACAGACTGCCAAGCTAACAAATGACTTGCGGCAGTCTGCGGTTCTAATAAGCTTACATGGATTGCACAATGAACTACCATACAGACTTTAGATAGACAGAAACTTAGAAGTAGGCTCTGCATGCTTATATGTCTTAGGGGCAAGGGTCTGGCACAGCTAACCCATTTCTACAAACACACTTATGCAAAGAGCTCCTCAAATGACAGAGCATGTGAAGAGATTGCTACCGTTGAATATAAGCAGCATGTCTATGCTCATGATGTTGTGTTTTTAGGCTGCAGTGTCAGGTATATGTAGCTCCCAGATGGAAAGGACAGATGCTGATTTAAAATCATATGAATCAGGTTTAATGTGCAATTAACATATCTGTGAACTAGGTTTATGAATGGTCTGTTGTGCCTCTTGTACATCTGAATGATGTGCATGTCTGGGTTAGTCTTATTAGGTTATTAGGTATTATTATTCATCTTTTCGTATTATTATTATAGCAAACCTATGCTTTACCCATTCAGTGCAATGCAACAGGTTTGCTTTAATACCCCTCTCCAACATATATTTATTTTTCTGTAACTGCTCTTTTCTCACTAGAAGCCAAAGGAGATGCCCATTACTTCTGGGTATGGTGGGGTATCTGGCTCACTCCATAGTAAAAAGCTGTTGCAAGGGGAGCAATAGTCCTGTGTAAGCTACAACTCTGGTGACTTGCAGCTTACATAGGACTTTCTTCCACTACCATAACAAATCCACTGATGGACTACAATCTTACCTTTAGTTTACTAATTTGTATGGAGATTATAGTCCATCATGGGAGCGAACTTGGAGCTGACCTATTTTAAAAATAAAAAATATATGTAATCATTAGGTAAATCCCTCTTAGGATGTGAAAGGAAAAAATATAAAAACAACAGGGAAACCCTGGAGGCGTAAGTGAGCAACAAATCAGTGTTCAGTAACTTAAAAAAAAAAAGGAGAACAACTCCTTGACAGCACACGTACTGCATCTGAACTCGACCCAAGGCTAGAAGAAAAGCTGTGTTGGAGCCAAGATATATGGAATTGTAACAAATATACGAAGCGCTCAACAGATTATTTATAGAAGCCAGGATTACTATCCATTTTTAGAAACAAAAATGATTAATAGCTAATACTATAGTAAAATGTGTATGAATGTTTTCAGGTTTGGTTTGTATAGGGAAGACAAACACCACTTTCAAACTTAAAAAGTTAGTTGCTGAGCAAGGTACTACATCAGGGGTGCCCATTAGGTAGATCGTGATCTACCAGTAGCTCTCAAAGCGGATGCTGGTAGATCACCAAGGGTGTGAATGGTGGCCCCTTTATTCCATTTTGGTATATTTATTTAGCTGTGCACACATGATTACCTATTAGCCCGAGTCTGCTGAGTCCAGCTCCCTGACACATTTCTGGTGGATACTGGTGGTTGAAGTGCTATGTATTACATCAAAGAATATTAGTTTACACAGCCTGTGAGCAAAATACAGCAAGGTGAGCCAGGAGAGAGAGTGGGGAGAGACAGACAGGGGAGAGAGCGAGGTTTTTTTTTCGTTGGTAGATCTCATGTAGCTCGTCATTTGAAAAGTAGATCTTAACACAAAAATTGTGGGCACCCCTGTACTACATTGTATGTATATAATATACAAGATGGACTTAGTCTAGCTAGCACTGTATTACATATTTTCAGTTTTGTGCTTATTAATTATTTAGCTTTAGTAATGTCAATGCCACATGTCAAAACAATCCATAGACACAGACATACAGGCAGCTAAATGTATGTGCAAATCTCAACATTTATTGTGAATATTGATGCTGTTCCCTCATGTCTCATGAGCCATCTTATTGGTCAGTAGGGAGAAAAGGCCAAATTTCCATATAAATTCAGATCCAATGCCCAAAGACTATGAGATTCCATGGGAGGCAGGGGATTAACTTATAGTAATGTAGGCCTCAAAATGAACAGCAATGACTTGACCCCATACTCACACAAATGGCACCAAACAGCAATAGCTTGGTCCCTTATTCACACAAATGGCATCAAACAGGAATTACTTGGTCCCATACTCACACAAAGGGCACTAAAGAGCAATAATCTGGTCCCATACTCACACAAATTGCACCAAACAGCAGTGATTTGGCCCCATATGCACACAAATGACACCAAATAGCAATGACTTGGCCCCCATACGCACACAAATGGCACTAAACAGCAATAACCTCGTCCCATACTCACACAAATTGCACCAAACAGCAGTGACTTGGCCCCATGTGCACACAAATGGCACCAAACAGGAGTGACTTGTCCCCATAAGCACACAAATGGCACCAAACAGCAATGGCTTGGTCCCATACTCACACAAAGGGCACTAAACAGCAATAACCTGGTCCAATACTAACTCAAATTGCACCAAACAGCAGTGACTTGGCCCCGTATGCACACAATTGGCACCAAACAGCAATTACTTGGCCCCATACTCACACAAATTGCACCAAACAGCAGTGGCTTGGTCCCATACTCGCACAAATTGCACCAAACAGCAGTGACTCGGCCCCATATGCACACAAATGGCACCAAACAGCAATTACTTGGTCCCATACTCATACAAATGGCACATAGCAATAAACTTTGGTTGGGCAATATACCAATATTCAGGTAACACACTGGCAATTGTGGTAATACACAGACATCACACAGCAATTGAAACAAATTGTTGGTAATCCATGGGCAAGAATGAAATAACTTGGACAACAGGTAGTCAACAAATGTGGGTAACACACTGGCTACTTTGATAATACATGGACAACAAACCGGCAACGCTGACAGTACATTTTCAACAATGCATGGACAACAATGTGGCAATAAATGGATGACAAATGAGCAGTCGCATCACTATGCGGGCAACAAACTGGTGGTCAGGGCATTAAATGGACAACCAGGTAATTTTGGCAATAAATGGGCAACAAACTGTTAGCATGGGTAGCCAACAGACGTTTGTGACAATACATGGGAAGCAAGCAGCCAATGCTGGCAATAAAATGCAGGACCAATAATTGGAGACCAGTTACATACACAAGGGCAACTTATTTTTTTAGCCTGAGTCTTCTGACCAATACCAGACAGTTTCCAGGTATAAATAATGTGTATATATATATATATATATATATATATATAGATCTACTGATTGCTGTGACATGCAGTTTTTCATCGCATGCTTAATGTATTAACTGAAAACGTGAGGGATACAAGGGAAACAATTTGTTAATTTACAACAGGAAAAGGTCTGGCTTGAGCATCAGCAATGTACTTATGTTCATGGTCTCATGTACTAATGTATATGGTTTAAAGTGTGAAAGGGCATATAAGGTACACAGTAACTGACTGTCTTCCATCCTGCCAACAGGTTCTTCATGTTGAACACCAGGGGCCTGCTTGAAGCCTGTGCATTAAATTTATATGTCTCTTCTCATTCTACAGATCATCAGAAACTAGAGAGAGAAGCCCGGATCTGTCGTCTATTAAAACACCCAAATATTGGTAAGAAGAAGTATATTACATACAAATCAGGCTTACTGATTTATCCCTTTACTTGCATAGCTTACTTTGCTACCTAAGAAAGTATCTGTAAAAAAACAAATCAAGGCAAGTGGACTTGCTTTTTTTCTTTTCTTGAAGACGTTTTGCTGGTCATCCAACCAGCTTTCTCAATTCAGAATGAAAGAAAGCTAGTTGGACGACCAGCGGCGGAATGTCTTCAAGAAAAATACAGCAAGTCAGTTGCCTTGATTTATACCATAACCTGGATGAATGAGAACCTTCACAGACATACCTATGAAAGAGACTATTGCTATCCCTTTTGCGATCCCATATGCAAGTACCTGTGCATAAAGGTTGCTGTGAGTTCTTTGTTTCCCTTTATTTTAGTCGAAGCTCTCAGATAGCAGCTGTGAAGCTCTGCGTAAAAAACAACTTTAATTTCAGAAGTTAGATTTGCAATGCATGCGTAATAAGTATGTTTAGATACAATTACATCATCCAGATTGATAAATTCCCCTCAATGAGTGTTTTGACTATAGCACAGTTGCAGTATTCTCTGGATCGCATTTTTTTTTCAATGACAGTTTTTTTTTTAGCTACTTGAAACTGTTGTTTAAATAAATGTTTTTGTTTTTTTTTTTTTTTATAGTACGCCTCCATGACAGTATATCAGAAGAGGGGTTCCACTATCTCATCTTCGATTTGTAAGTGCATTGCTGTCTTATTATTTCTAATGAATGGCAGGCAATTGTATTTATATTAGCACAGTCATTTAAAGATGCTAAGATAGTATGTAAGTAATATATCGTAGTCAGGTAGAAAGATGTCTTACTGACTTGAGTAGAACGAGGGAAATCTAAAGGATTATCTGGGCTGCTATAACATGTGATCCCTATAATAGCCATGTAGACTGTCACATAAGAAATATGAGGGCTTCCATTGTTGATGTCCTTCTAAAAATGCCAGTTGCTTGGTTGGTATGATGACCTTTTGGCTTCATAACTTTTTGAATTATTAATCTGGAACAAGCATGCAAATCAAGAAGTTTAGAGTAAAGTCGGAAATCACCCACTTACATAGAAATGAAAAGTCTATAATTTGTATCATAGGTGTATTTTAAATGATAGAGACAGAATATCAACCACAAATCCAGAAAAACCACATGATACAAATGTTATAAATTGAGTTGCAGTTCAGTGAAATAAGTATTTGATCCCCAAGCAAAACATGACTTAGTACGGTATTATACGGTACTCGTGTCCATCAGTTATTATTAGCCTGCACTTACTGATATATTATTATTGTTACATTGAACGTACTAACGTATCCCACAAGGTCACGTTTCCAAGAACTGTGTGCATTGGATTGTAGCAACTAGTCACATACAGACCTGCTCAACAGAATTACAGCGCAAAATAACACCATTAACCCTCTCAGTCTGCAGTTGCTCTCACATAAAACGTCCCAGCATTGTTAAAGTGACACTAAACGCAGGAGTCAAACCTTAAAAATGCATTCAAGTACCCTATTCAAGGTAATGGACCTTATTTGTGTATCACTCAGCTGTAGATCCTCAAATCATCTCTGAATTGGTGCCGACACTGTCCTTCCTTCTGGAGGGGGGCTACGTTTGTTCCCCATGGTCCCTGTGTGTGTTGTAAAGTAGTCACCGCTCCAAGCTCACTCCCGGGATGGACTACAGTCTCAATACAAATTAGTAAACTAAACATGAGATTGTAGTCCATCATGGGAGCGAGCTTGGAGCGGTGACTACTTTACAACACACACAGGGACCATGGGGAACAGAAGTAGCCCCCCTCCAGAAGGAAGGACCGTGTCGGCACCAATTCAGAGATGATTTAAGGATCTACAGCCAAGTGATACACAAATAAGGTTCCGTATTGTTAATAGTTAGGGTACGTGAATGTATTTTCACCCTAATGTTATATAGTTTATTTTGGATATTAAAAGCAGAATAGACATGTGCACCGGCAAAAAATTTGTTTCGATTCGTTTTGATTCCAACTTTGCGTTATTTCGTTTTTTGGGATTCGGGTCCGAAAATCAATTTGTTTTGGGATTCGGACGATATTCGTTAGCGGTAGTCTGTTCGGATTTTTGTTTTCGTTTCATTTTCGTTGCGTTGCAGCAAAGTGACATTTTTTTTATGTCACTTTGCTGCAACGAAAATTCGTCCACAAAGAAAAATTTGCACAGACTACCGCTAACTAATTTCGTCCGAAATTTCGTTTTCGGAAATTCAGATTAATTTTCATTCGCCATTTCTGTTATTCTGAAATTCGGATACATCCGAACCTCCGAATAACGATAATTCATCCGAAAAACTAATTTTTCCGAAACGAAGCGCACATGACTAAAGCAGAATACATGTGCCAGTTTTCCCTACAAAAAGACCACACAAGGATAGTTCAATCAGTTCCTCAGATCAAAATATTTCTGTGTTTTCTTTCAGTAGATACATTATTAAATTAAATTATTGATTTTACTATTACTACCTTATGTGGGTTAGGCACTCTTCAGCTTCACCACTCTAGCTATGAAGTGAGATTACATTCTTTGGATGAATTTAGTTGCCCAGCTTTGAACAATCTCCTATGTCCCTATCAATGTCAAGGCCAAAATATTCCCCCAATTTTAGGTTTTCAACTTTCAAATTGTGTTTAGGGGAAAGTTTGTACTAGCATCATGTATTTTTTTCCCTCCTTTTTATACTTTATATACTCCTTTTTATACTTATTTTGTCTGCCTTTACAACTGCTGCGTAGCATTGAATACTACTGCTTAGCTTACTATAAACCTTTATCCCCAAGTCCTTAACCAGCTCTGTTCCCCAACTGTTTTTGATTTAATGTACAGGGGACAGTACCGATCCCACAGCCTAGGTGAATAAGATTACATTTTCCAACTTTCATCTGCTATTCTGCTCATTTTGTCATTGTATCTATTGCCCAGCTGTATAATATTGCTATCTTGGAGAAGTTTAATATTTCTACATCATTTTGTATCATCAGCTAAAATGGCAACTATGATGTCAAATTAAACACAGGCTAGTTATATTTTACATCACAGTTGATGTTCTAGAAGACACAGTCAGCCAGTAGTTCATCTGTCTTATGACTTAAAAAAATAAAATATGACAAACAGCAATGTCTTGTATACTAAAGGTGTGAATGAGTTGATCATGATCTACCTGACGATCAAGGCCATGCGTTTGGTAGTTCTGTTCCCGCTGTGCCCATCCTTTGTCAGAAATGCATTCTCTCCATATGCAGAGCAGTGCAGGCAAGCAGTGGCAAAACGCTACATACAAGCACCTGGGATGGATGCGAGAGGGGGTTGACGGGGACCCGCATGGCAGAACAAGTAGTTGTGTCTTGCTGCTGCTTCCTTGTGCTCCTCTGCATATGGGGGACATTGTGGTGGCACTGGGGGGGGAATATATTAGTGTTACTAGGCGGACGGTGTGGCACTGGGGGGAGAACCTACATAATGCAAAGGACATGCTGTGTACAGGGGAATACTGGAAGCTGGGCACAGGGTGAATGTCAGGGTACACACGGGTACACACTAACCAGTCTAGAACCAAGCCTAGCCTAGTCAAACTGTGAATGAAAGTGAATGCCAGGTTTCTCACTAAACCTCTAAAAAGGTAGTATAATGTTTATATTTTTACAATGACATTGGCATTATAATATCACTGCATTCACTAGGTTTTCTTCAAACATCCCTTATTTTTACAATTTAATGGGGCCTTGGTGTCTCCTGGTGCACCCTGATAATGTTTCCATGTTGTTCAGGTAGATTTCCAACTCTCCAAGGTTGCCTAGCCCTGAGTTAAGATGGCCATACATAGACTGATAAAAGCAAGAGATGTGACATACTTGAGAATGCTTTTGCTGGTTGAGCCAATTATGGGGCTATTGTGATTTCTATACATGATTTATACCGTGCCAACAGTATGAGCAGTACTTTACAAAATAAACGGGGACAATACAATTGCAATACAATGCAAGATCAAAGAGTTAGGAGGATTCTGCTCGTGACAGCTAGGTATCTAAAACATAACTGGAGAGCAGTAACCACCAAATTTACCTTCAAAAACGAACATTTTTGTTTGCATGTAGAGACTTTCCTGCATATAACAAGGGAGTTGGGTGTCTGGTGAACTGATCATTCCCTGTTCTGTAGAGAAAATGAAATTAGCCTTTTTGAGTTTGTTTTGTCTCACTCATTTGTCAAGAGAAAAAAATCCAAGACCATCATGGCAGTGTACAGGTGCAAGACAGGTAGATAACTCTCAGAGAGGGAACGACCCATCTATGGCTACCTTTGGATGTGAATGAACCATATCTTCTAGGGAAGAGGCAAATCTATCTTACAGTGCTAACTCCAGCCAGCTATCCCTGTGCCCAAGGCTGTGACAGAACCTTCCTTCTTCCCTGAAAGGCTGTCTGTCCATCTGCCTATCTTCATGGCAAGATACCTACCATTTGTGAAGTTTTATATATACCTGTGTAAAAGTGACGATGCATGCCCTACAACGTCTGTAAAAAGCTGTCATTTGGGTTGACGTCTTCTGGCATTACGTGAGAAAGTAGCTACATTGAATTGTTGGTGGAATAACTGAGCTCTCCATTCTGCTCTTTCTGCAAAGGATTTCGGTGCAGGCACAGAGGAGGGGGGACGCAGCCTATAAATACACCAGGCTGTGTTTGGTGTTACAGCTCTGTAGGCGTTAGATGAAGACAAGACATGAGTGTTGCTGCTATATACTACATTTCTATCCTCCCCTGCAGCCACCTCTGCTATTCTTGTGCTGACCTCACACGCAGCATCCCACCAATCTACCCGACCGGAACCATGCAAACTAGCCCACGCCTGTCACTGTCCTCTTCCTGTCCAAAATCCGCCACCTCTTCTACTGCGTTAGCATTCTTCTGTGTTAGTAATCACACACCCATACATGCTGCCATCAGGTCTGATATATCTTGCATCCCCCCTCTCAGAGGTCTGTGCTGATTTTACACCCACCTCTTTGTCAATTTCCATAATCTACTGTAGCGCTGTGCTGTTCCTCAAACACATACCCACCTCTTGCTATACCTCCATCCTGACATGTACATCCCTTTCTTCTCTTCCTGTGCACATTCTGTCCCCTCACTCCTGCACAATTTATGCTGCTCACCCTCCCCTTGCGCTTCTTTTGAAAGCAGGTGCTGCAGTGGCACTAGAACTCATCGTTCTATATATAACCCAGTGTGTAGCTCTCAAACTGTATTTAATTAGACAGATCCTTTAACAGCCCCCACCCCGCTGAATGCCAATATCTTCTTTTTCTTATATTTTTATCTGCTGTGCCTTCACGTCCCCGAGTAAGTCTCTGCTCCTATTGTAGCTCAAGGCTTAGCTGTCATTAAAAAAATTAAGTGATAGGCAACCCCGACAGCGAGCACATATTTTAAGTTGTTATTATTGCAGCTTTCACCATAGAGGATTTGTTTTTACGTAACTTTCACATTTTAAAAACTTGAGCTTACATTTATTTTTAAATATTGAGATTTGTAGATTAAGTTTTAGAAAGGGTGCTGTATTTGTCTCATTCAACCTCCCTGCTTAAACCCTAACAAAAAAAATTATATATTGCAGCTTACCGATCCTTCGATTTGGTGGCTGCATTGGTTTT